TTGATGTACACACAAGCTTGGAACAACAGTGTTCTGTGATACAGGGATCAAGACATAGCTTGAATAAGTAAATGAGGGGAAAAAAAGATTAGGGCCTTGACTGTCTTGTGGATATTGGTTTCCCTTGCCTACTATTGTTAAATACACATTTAAGTGTGATTGAAATGAATATTGAGAATTATGATTACAGAAAACTTGTAAGCCCTGTCTTCAGCCTATAACTGATTGGATTAGTTAAAAGGGGAATTAGAGTTTGCCCAGGGAAATAGGTTTCTTGCTAAGCCTTTGTGGAGTATGGGGCCTTAGGTAGAATCCTGAGCCCTACCTTCTGAGGTGGTACATTCCCATTTAAAAAGACATGCAGACCAACCTAGAATGGTTAGAAGAACAGAAGATACTTTTTGAAAGAAAGTCCAGCAGAAAAAAAGAGACTGTTTGGCTGTTAGATTATTAAGCAAGCTGTTTGTCGTCAAGGCGAGAAACGTCAGCCCATCAGGGAAAACCTCCTTCTAAGACTGAAGAAAGGAACCTATGAGCTATCTAGTAAGGTCACCAGACCATCTGGGTCTACTTCTGAGTGAAAGTGGGAGAAATGCAACAATGAAGACATGGGCTAAGTTTGGCTATGTTTCATTGACACCAGTTGACCTTGAGATAAGAACAAAAAGAGGAAGGACTGAAGTTTAAGGAGATGTTCGAACTCATGAACCTATGGACACTGACCTAGCCACTGGAGGCTAGAGCTGAGAGTGAAAAGGTCAGCTAGTCTGAAGTTGGGGGAGGCGTGCGAGAACTCCCAAACTTGCAGATGGTACCCATTTGACTTAGCTTGGATGGCTTGCTGTCCAGAACTCAACCAGATGAAGATAAAGAAGTTTGATACAGGAAGCAAACGTAAATTGCTACAATTTGATGAACTGGAACTTTGCTTATTCCAACCAAAATTAAGAACTCTTCATATCAAGGATCAAGCTTGTCTCCTCAGTACATTGAGTTGATAGGCCACTTAGACATTAGCTATGCTATAAAGGCACGAAGTGGCTGGCTTACACTTTTTCATGAGTGTGCTTAGTTTCAGAATGAGGGGGTATGATAGAATCCTCATGGAGTAGTTTTTCTCTTTTACAGGTGGGTCTGGTGAAAAGGGATGGGGGATGACAGGGATAGGATTTTATGATTCCATTGTGAGTAATTTTTATCAGGATTAATTGTGATTGTCACAACTGTAATTGTAGATGATGTGTAACTAAAAGGGGGCAGTAGTTAAGTCTTTGTTTCAGGAACAGAGGACCCAGGACCATCAAGAAGGAAGAGCATGAATGGAGTGTGAGATTCTACCTAGAAATTGGTGACAGTAGAGACAGTAGCAGAGGTGATGGCATAGGGAGATAGAGCAGCTGAGAACTCTAGGCCCATGGATTGAGAAAGGCGGTGTGCCTGTGGGCAGAAAGCTGGCTTGAACATGTGTCCATTGGACAGTTATATGAATAAATATTTTTTGGTTTTTTATGTGTACAGCAAATATTTTTGCCTTTTTCATTTGTGAAAAATAGTATGTAAAAGGGAAGCCAAAGAGTGAAAGCAGAATAACTCTTGTTAAAAGGAGGGGAGTGTAATCATGGAGATGAAACAAAATTTAGGATTTCTTGAAAGTAAGGCTGATGACCTTATCTGTTTACCTTCACTCAAGCCACAATAAAAAGTTAAACAAATAAAAAAAAAAAAGACTTTAGGGGATTGTAGGGGTTAAGGGAAGTGTGTGAAGCCCACCCGGCTGTAGCCCTCTAAACCAAGGAAGACTTTGGAGAGAGCTACAAGGAAGACCTTGCTAGCCATCGACAATGGGCCAAGACCACATGGACCTGTATAGTATAAAAACAAGTTAGTTAAGAAAATTACTCCAAATTATGTGACTATTGTAGTACGTACATAGCTCTTGATCTATATCTTTATAATAATCCTGGAAATTGTGTTCCCTACCTACAAACCAATCTTCGCATGTACTGATTTCCAACATATTATTCTCACTGAATGATGTCAATGGTATTGTGATCTAGCAAAGGTCTTATGAATCATTAAAGATGTATGATTTCCCCTCTTGCTCATACCTAAGAAATATGTATTTAAACTGAATCTGTAAGACATTAAAGCACTCTCAACTGACCATCCTGAGTCTCCTGTCACATCAATCCTCAAATCCACCTCCTTGAACCCCCGTCCATGCAGGGCTGGCCCCTGCATCTGGCGCCTGGACTGGGACCTGGAGAAGATCCTCGGAAAACCCGATGGATAGTAGGGTAAGTAATGGATTATAGAGGAGCCCTGCAGGTGAGTATATGATAATAGAAAAATAAGAATAAGAAAATAAGAGGGAAAGCCACTTGTGGTCTGCAGGGAAGTGCCGTGAGGAACGGTGTGATAGGAAAATGGGTCAAGTGGACAGCAAATATAAACCCTACGCCTCTTTATTGCGTTCTTTGTTAACCAACACCGGGGTGTCAATAACAGAAGGAAAATTAATGCAATTATTGAAAATAATAGGACACATGGGTCGGAACCGACTCGATGGCACTTAACAACAACAACAACAACTGTCCCTGGTTTCCAGATGAAGTCACCTTAGACCTCCCAACTTGGGAGAGAATCAATGAAATTCTAAAGAAACATCATAGACAAGGAGAAATTATTTCTGCTGACATTTGGACCTCTTGGTCCTTGGTAAAATTAGTATTAGAGCCTCTGCAAACTATTGAGAGGGATAAGATTCAAAAGAAAATTGACTTTTCAGAGCAGCTGCCTTGTCTTTATGAAATTCCTAGTGCTCCACCACCTTCCCCGTCAGGAAAAGGGGCACCCCAAGGTTTTTCTACCATTGAAAAATGTCTTTTAGAAGCTTCAAAGCAGGGTAATTTGGATGCTGTATTAGCTTTGCCTGTGTACTATAGAAGGAGTGATGATGGTGCTCCCATAACTTATCATGAACATTTTAGTTTTAAGGTTTTAAAAGAATTAAAAACTGTAGTTGCTAGTTATGGAATGCATGCTCCTTTTACACTTGGTTTATTACAAATAATTACTGAAACATATAAATTAATCCCTGTTGACTGGCAATTTTTGGCAAAGACAGTGTTAGATCCTGGAGATTATTTGCAGTTTCAGTCTTGCTAAAGGAGCAGAATTACAGGCAAAAAAGAATGCTGCCCAAAATCCACCTTTAAATATCAACTTTGAACATTTAACAAGCTCAGGAGACTGGGCTGATACCGCAGCCCAGGAGTGGGTCACCCTTTAGTTTAAATGCCACTGTTCAACCAAGACCTCTTAAATTAACTTGAAAAACAGAGGATCCCATTTAGGTTGAGCAGTGGCCTCTTTCATTAAAAAAATTAACTGCCTTAAGAACTATTATTGATGATCTTAATAGGTGACATATAGAATCAACCACAAGTCCTTGGAATTCTCTTATTTTTGCAATTAAGAAAAAAAAATCAGGAAGGTGGTGTATGTTAACAGATTTAAGAGCTGTAAATACTGTTATCCCACCTATGGGAGCTTTACAACGGGGCCTCCCTTCCCTAGCCATGATCCCACAAAATTGGCCTTTAATAATTATTGACTTGCAAGACTGCTTTTATACAATTTCACTTGACAATCAGGACAAATAAAAGTTTGCTTTTACTTTACCTGCTATAAATAATAAAGAGCCCGCTCGCCGATATCAGTGGGGAGTCCATCAATGATGCCACCTGGCCAATCCATCTCGTTGGGGGTCTTCCTCTCTTTCTCTGACCCTTCACCTTACCCAGCACGACACCCTTCTCCAGCGACTGTTCCCTCCGGACAATATGTCCAAAGTATGAGAGACGAAGCTTAGTCATCTTGGCCTCCAAGGAGCACTCTGGCTGCACTTCTTCCAAAACAGATCTATTGATTCTTTTGGCAGTCCATGGCACTTTCAGTATTGTCCTCCAACACCACAACTCAAAGGCATCAATTCTTCTACGATCTTCTTTATTCACTGTCCAGCTTTCGCATCCATATGAGGTTATTGAAAATACCATGGCTTGGGTCAGGCGACCCTGTAGAGGGTTTCCAAGATGTGGCTGGTGAGCTTGAAACCCTGAATTTGTAGTTCAAACCGACCTTGCAGTCCAGCGCATTAACCCACAGCACCACAACATGCAGCGCCACACCAGGGTAATTATAATTCAAAATCGACTCCACTGCAATGATTTTGTTTTCTGGTGTTTTTTTTGTTTTTTTTTTTTAATAGGTTTCATTGAGGAAACATAAAGAGTCCTGGTAGCTTGGTGGGATAAGCATTGGCTTGGTAACTACAAGGTCCGGGTTTGAACTCACCAGCCTGTTTGATAGAGAAAAATGAGGCTATCTGCTCTGGTAGAGATTTAGTCTTAGAAACCCTAAGGAACAGTTACGCTCTGTTTTATAGGGTCGCTATTTATCAGAATTGACTTGACGGCAGTGAGCTTTTTTTTTTTTTTTTTGAGACAGACGAGACCAAGAATGGTTAACTCACAGCAACCAACAACAATCAGTGTGAAAAACTATGCCACATGGACCAAAACGAAAGTACAGACACGCTGCGGGGAAAAGAACAGTTTGTCGTGCCGGAATGGCAACCTCCTTTGTTTACAGAACAATTTCAATTTCACTTGGCACTCTGTCCCAGACCAATTCTTTCTTTATCTTAGTTAAGGGATACCTAAGTCTTCTCACATTCATCCTATCATCGGAATACAAACCTACATCTCTTTCATACCCGAAACCTCCAGTCTGAATGCTCTACTACACAGAGCCTGGAAAATAAATCTGGCTTTCACCACACTCGCTTAAAAATAGCATATACTCCCAATGCTGTAAACTGCCTACTTGGATCGTCACAAAAGAACTACAATTCCCAGAATGCATAGTTTCCCATTCCGCCTTCCACCAGGGGAATGTCTAACTTGATTTCATTTCCACAAGCAGTAGTCACATGACACATTTCCTGTCAAGATGGCGAATGATCTCCCTTCGGAGTTTGATGTGATCGTAATAGGGACGGGTATGTGTGATCCTGTTACTCCACAGACTAAATGTAGGAATTCTGTTTTCGTTTATACCTTCTCTCGCAGTGACGAGAAATGCCGGGGTCGAGTTTGGGAGGGCGAACTTGAAGGAAGTGAGGTATTCTGGAGTCAGCGCGGGTCTTGGCACCTCCAGGGAGGGGCTTGGACCCGCTGTGCTTAATGCCGTCTGAGTAGGGGTCGATATGGTCAATGCCGATTGTTGAGGTTGGTTGCTGCGGGTGATTCCTGTAATATCCTTAAAGGGAATTGGGTGTGCAGTGTCGTGAGAACGGAGGGTCGGGATTTTATTAATGGAAATGCCTTTGGCATGTTATTGTGAATCTCTTCGTGTTGAACTCAAGGTGATATCTCATTTTGTCTCGCCATTTCATAGTATTTTTCCATATATTTATATAATCACAGGGTGTCGTGCTATTCAAAATTGCTTGGTTACAGCTTAATCCTCAGTTTTGCAGGAAAGGTGCTCAGTTGTTGCCCATGTGCATATTGATTTCCAAGGGCAATGAAACATTTTTTTTTTTTTTTCTATTGTGTTGGGAAGCCTAGGGAATTGTATTTTGTTGAGGCAGCCATTATTCCTGCTTGACGTGCTGAAAGCATTCTGCTTTATACCACCCCCCTATCCATGCACAACCAAATGTACTGAGAACTAGCGTTTGTGAGTACCACTTGAGGTGTGTGACCATATCCTCCCGATGTTTTTCTTTTATTTGTTCTCCATGTTTTGGGTGGAGCCAACCCCTCTCTCCCCCTCTGCAGTTTCTAGTTGACAGATTCAACATACAACATGTGGCAGAGGGCATACAGCATAAACTGACATTTTGTTTTTCTTATTAGGTTAAAAGGTGGATTTAAAATGGGGCAAAAGAGAATTTGGGTAGGGTGTACTCAATGTCTGCAGAATGTAGTAGGCTGCAGAAACTCTGGGAGATGAAACCCTGCCCATTGTGTTAATGAAATCAGTTTATTGCCTTTTCAAACTATAGGAGCAGCCACGTTTCCAGTATGGGAGTAAAAATAATGTGCACTTTGTTTTTTGAATGCTTATTATTTGCTAGTTGTTATGATAGACACTTTATAAAACCTTATGCAATTGTCACAACCTTCTTAGAGTATGTACTTTTCTCTGCATTTTACAGAAGAGGAAAGGGGGGCTTGGAAAGGCTGTAAGTTGCTCTTGATCACACATCTGGTAAAGTTCCCAAAGCCCTTCTCCTACCAGAAGGAAAATCAGTGGATCTGACCCTCAGAGGTAACCCACATTAGTAGAAATCTTTACGAAGACGTGGTTCTAGATATTGCTGTGTGACTGTGGGGAGGGCCAAGCACTTGATCTCTATGAGTCTTGTTTTCTGTAGTTGTGAGTATAGGGAGGGCAAACTGGTAGCCTTTAAGGTGTCCTCTAACCCAAAAGCCTTTTATATTTGTTGTACCTAGAGAATTGTTCTCAGAACTACATGGGCATGCTATACCTGACTGGAAAACAACTGAAGGTACGGATAGCCAGGCTGTAGTTTCTAAGAACAGATGCTGGATAAGAGCTGGAAGACGCCCATCAAGCATTCGTTTCCTCCATTCTGTTCTAAAACTGAGAAAAACATCCATTTTTATAATAGTTGTTATACCGTAATTGCCTTTCATTTTTGTCTAGGAACTTGGTGAGTTTTCAAAACATAGGTAAAAATCATTGTGATTTTTTTTCATTTGGATAGAAATTTCTGTTGATAGGTGTGCTAATTCTTATAATTAAATGTTAATCTCTGTAACTAATATTTCACATCAGTTTAAAATACTTCAGCCTTTTGGAATTTCTTATGATAAAGTTGGAAAGATACTGTTGTCGGTGATCCAGAAATTTGCATTAGGAGGCATCTCATGGTAGTGTAGTGGTTACAAGTTGGGCTGCTAACCTCAAGGTCAGCATTTCCAAACTGCCAGCTGTTCCTTAGGAGAAAGATGAGGCTTTCTGTTCCTGTAAAGATGTACAGCCTTGAAAACCCTATACAGTGTCATTATGAGTTGGAACCGACTCCATGGCATACAACCATCACCACCAGTGTGATATTATTTCTTAGTGTATGGTAAATTATTTGAAGTTAATCTTACAAGTTGAACTCCTGATATGGTGCTGTAGGATCAACACTCAACTGCGAACCACAAGGTTGGTAGCTTGAACCCACTAGCTGCTCTTCGGAAACCCTATACAGTGTCACTATGAGTTGGATCTGACTTGACAACACTTAATAACAACAGCAGTCATAAAAGTTAAAAAAAATTCCTTAATGGTGACACATTTCAGATTTTATCAAGCACATTGTTTAAAAATTACCATATGGTACTGTTTATAGATGGAGTCCTGGTGTGGATATTCAGGATAATGCGCTGGAATTCAAGGTCAATTTCAACCACAAGATAGGCAGTTTAAACCCACCAGCCACTCCTCGGAAACCCTATACCAGGTTGCTATGGGTGAAAACCGACTTGACGGCACTTAACAATAACAACTATTTATAGATATTTCAAAAATGGAAAAAATAGATAGCAGAAAGTAATTTCCTAAATAAATTATTCCAATAATACCAATCATTAATTTGGATTATTTCTTAAGAATTTATCCTTTCTGAAATAATTTGCTGAATTTTATCATTAAAATGTGTTTACTAGCTTGAATAATTCAAAGGAAATGCAGTGGTTTATATCTTAAGTTTATTAGAAAAGCAGAATTAATCGTACATGTATCAGAAACATGAAGAAATAGTGTATAAGATATAATCTTTCTTTTTCAGAGTTAGTTATTGTTAAGATGTCATCAGGAGACAATTGATTCTCATAAAATAAAATCATTTGAGGATAATAATTTAAATAACTTTGACCTTTTTAATTTTTGTATTTCTTTTCTTACTATATAACACAAGATGAAAGCTTTTCCTTAAAATATATTATGAAGAGATTATGAAGAATATTTTCTTAGTTAAGGCAAATTCTTTCTGATTATAAACTGTAGGAAATATCTGATGTTAAGTGTAGTTGAGTTAGTTTCCACTCATAGCGACCCTTTGTAGAATTTCCTACTGGTAGGTTTGAACTGCCGACCTTTTGTTAGCAGTCCAGTGTAATCCTACAGCGCCACACCAATAGACAAGTCTATAAGGGGAACAATAACACTTGTGAGGTATTTGTTGTTAAGTGCCGTCGAATCTGTTCCAACCCATAGAAACCCTGTGTAGGGTTTCTGAGGAGTGGCTGGTGAGCTTGAACCGGCGACCTTGCAGTTCAAAGTGACTTTGCAGTCCAGCGCATTAACCCATAGCACCATACTAGGACTCCAACCATAGGTATAGAGGTTAGAATGTACATAACAAGTTTTTGGAAACAAAAATCAATCAATTACAGCCTGAGACATTTTAATATACTGGCAACCACTCATTTCTTGGGGTATTTAACTCATATTTATTGAGAATCTAGTCCTTGCCCTAATGATGTTTACTGTATTGTCTATTTTCAGGAACTGTTTGGCTGTCAGTAATACCCCAAAGCTGTTCTTAAACCTTTGTTGTTGTTGTTAAGTTCCGACTCATAGCGACCCTGTATCGGGTTTCCAAGGACCCACTGGTGAGTTTGAACTGCCGACTTTGCTGTTCAAACTGACTCTGTGGTCTAGGGCTTATCCTACAGAGCCATACCAGGACTCCTCTGTAAGTCTTTTGTTGTTGTTGTAAAGTGCCTTTTCAACTCATAGTGACCCTGTATAGGGTTTCCTAGGAGTGGCTGATGGCTTTGAATTGCTACCTTTCAGTTCAGATCTTCCTTTCTGTCCAGTGCTAATCCTACAGCGGTACACCAGGACTCCCTATAAGCCTGTATGGATTTTTGATAGTATGTTTCTTGCTTTCTGTAGGCCGTATATATACAAAAGAAAAGAAAGTTAAACTGATGTATTCCACAGTCCTTCTGAGGAGAAGAGCTCAGAAAAAGTGTATGGTGTGCTTTACAAAGGAAAAGGAGTCAGACTAGATCTTAAATGGACTACAGAAAGTAAGAAGGATATATATATTTGTTGTTAAGTGTGGTTGAGTCGGTTCTGACCCATAGCCATGAAGTACTAGTATGGAGCTGCGGGCTAATGCACTAGACTACAAAGTCTGTTTGAACCGCAAGGTTGGCAGTTCAAGCTCACTAGCCGCCGCTCCTCAGAAACCCTATGCAGAGTTGCTATGGGTTGTAGTCGACTCGATGGTACTTAACA